CTTCTAGATATCTTTATGTCAAGTTTACAAGTGATCATTCGATCGTTGACACTGGATTCTCTGCAATTTATCACGGTAAGTGAGATGTAAGGTAACATTCATCAACAATTGCAACAACAACATCATCATCGTTATCGATTACATCATTAGCATTTTATCATCGTCAATAGCAGTAATAACATCATAAACAGCAGCATAAACAACGACGGCGACATCCACATGAACTATGTCAACAACGATAACACAACAACATATTAGCATCTATAGCACTAACATCAACGACAGCATCATAAGTGACAACAACAACAGCATTAGCATCATTTATGCCAACAATGACTAAGTTATCATTATCAACAACAACAACGATAACAGCAGCAGCATCATCGACTAACTAAATAATTACTGACAATGAAACTCCTGATTACAATGCGATTGACAATGATTACAATTGATGATGACGAAAAACGAGCCAATTTTTTAAAATAATATCAGTTTTTTTTTAATAGGTACCTAGTTGCCAAAGCTTATTGCTGAAATGCAAAAAGGCATGTTTGGGGCTGCGTTTTCAAATGTTTGTCAGTTGCAAGTTGGGCATGGTTGCTTGTTTGTTCATGGCAAACCCGAGATAGGCAGCCTTCATCTTTATTTAATCAACCAGTGCTCTTTGTTCATCAAACTAGTCCTGAGGAGAGGAGACTTTTTCTGGAGTAATAGATTACTGAATTTACACGTTTATGAATCGGGATTAAGCTGGATGATTTTGTTATTTCTMKTTTTCAGTCATTTCCTTTGAATTGGAATTCGTCACTGCATGCAACATTTGCTGTTTGGAAATGAACACCAAGTTCTTGRGCTATAGTCTCCTTCACGGTTACGTGCGCGATCTTGAAAGGTAGCTGTGCCTTTACATCGAAGCGAGACGACTGTTGAGCATGTAATGATAGATACAGTATACCTGTGAATACTTGTCTGTAGGTGTGAAAGAAGGTTTCTATCATTGCACGCTCAACGGTCGTCTCGCTTTGATGCAAAGACACGGCTACCTTTCAAGATGGYGCAGGGAACCGTGAAGAAGACTATTTCGTGTTGTTTTATACYTCAGCACCCAAAACTATAAGTATATAAAAAAAACTATAAGTACGGCAGCTTGCTTTCAAAATAAACTTGAAGAAGAAGAGTAGAAACAATCCTTTTTAATCATAATTATGTATTCTTTTAAAAGTTAAAAAGGCCTTTGTTTTACCCTCCAAAATTTGTCTTTTACACAAAAAAGAAGTGAATTCGACTTGTACTTTTATGAGTGTATTTTAATAACGATAGAACTGTTTACTGCGTGTTGTGGACTGATTGTCTGATTAGAGTATGTCAAGAGACACTGACAACAGCACGTCTCTCCTCTCGTCCTCGTCGCAGTTGAAAGCATGAATCGAATATTGCACATTGTACTAAAATATGTTAGAATATCATTATGAAATTGCATCTCATAGTGCTGACTTACGCAAATTACCTTGTTTACTTAATTACTAATTTATACTAGGGCATTTGTAACCGTTACAACCGTTGGCAATCAGAATCAAGGAAACAGTCGCGTTTCAGTGATTATGTAGCCTGCGTAGCGGCCCTAAGGGGATTGGGGAGGGCCGGCCGAGCGGGGAGTGGTGAGGAAAGTATTTTCCTCCCCACTCCCCGCTCGGCCGGCCCTCCCCAATCCCCTTAGGGCCGCTACGCAGGCTATGATTATGTTTTCACTTTGAGTAATAGAGAATCAATTAAAGTTAAAGCACTGAATGAAATTATTGATGCCATTTCCTTGCTCCATTTTCACTGCTGCTCCCCTGCAATGCTTGGCATTTTAAAAGATAGTTGAGAATGAAAAATGTCAGTATCACTGAAGACATTTGCCTAAAGAGATCCTTTTCCGCAAAATGGCCGCCTCTCGAAGCTCATTGACATTGTTTGTTTTTTCAAACTATGGTTGGGTAAATTGCTTATACCCGCATAAAGCAAATTTCTCTTTRAAATAAGTAGACTTTCATGGATAAAATCTGATGTCTACGGGTTTTCATTGGAACTTTCTAAAAATTATATGTGAYGGTCATTTTGAGATTTTGGCGCAGGGCTCCATGAAACGTGTACTCCTAGCTCGGCAAGGAATATTTCTCTGCATTTCCGCTTTGGTCCACTTTTTCCCCTCAAAATAAGCGAGTGGAAGCTAAGAAACATGAGTTAAGTAATAAATGGCCAGAAAGTTTGTTTGAGGAAGCCCCGATATCGCTTGCTCTGTAAGTAGTAAAACGATTCTCGGCATGGTTCGGGATTGCTGTGGTAAGTGTTCACGTGACGTAAACACGAGGAAGGTTCAATGTCCTGTTCCTGCTTGAATTTCAGGTTTTCTTTCCTTTTATTCCAAGAATATTCAGACTTAGCTCTTGAATAATATTCTGAATGTCGAGTTTTAGCGTTTAAAGAGAGAAAAATGGACCATTCAGGGACTTATTTGTCTTCAGACGCGAGAATTGTTACGTGAGTATTTAAAGCTTATACAAAGCTGAAGTTCAATGTTTGTCAGCTGAGCACTTGCTAAGAATGTTGTTTTAGCTCATTTATCTAAGTAACCTCTTTAAACACATAGGACTTGCATTCCTATAACCTAAATTGTGGTTATCAGCATATTTGGAACCATGCTTTTTTTCCTTGTAATTTTAAGCTACTCATGGCAGAATGCATCACTGCGCTTTGCATACAAACGTACAGTCCCGCCATAGTTTAGTTGTGCAAGGAAGTCTGCCTTTACTATGCTTTTTGTATCTTTATATGTGAATTCTTTAATATTAAAAGATACTTTTTAACAGCGCAAAACTTTATACCTACAGTACTTCTACACTTGAAGCTGAGATGTTTTTAAATGAACAAATCAATGAACTATATGTGATTTATTTTTATTACAGACCAACAGTATGGCAGCAGTTTGTAGACTTTGCCAATGTCTTGAAGGCTTTTATTGGGACAAGCTATCTTTCATTACCATTTGCATTCAAGCAAAGTGGGCTGGCAGTATGTATACAGTTGTTACACTTTCATACGTAGATAATAAACATGTGATGTCAATCAATTAATCATTCATTCAATCATTCAATCATAGTTAATCGAGGGGACTAGTCCAAACAACCATACAACATTTCTGTTCATCATGTTAAGTTCCTCTTTCCATAAAAACAATAATTTATTGAAATCAGATTCAAAGAACAACAAAGCATAGAGTGCACGCCACATAAGCATGAAACAATTCTTAAGTAATTAGCGCCTAATAAGATTTAGTTATCAACTAACTAAGAATTTAGTGAGGCATAAACAAAGAYGAACTAAATCTTATGAGATGTTGATAGTTAAGAATTGTTTCATGCTTTTTGGCGTGCACTCTACTAGTTCCTGATAGAAAGACTTTTGTATTTCCAGCTTGGCATCGTAACCCTAGTAATTATAGCAGCAATCACAGACCACTGCTGTCAAATGATAATAAAATGCAAAATAATGGCAGTTGACCTCATCCTTGAATCCTCTCAACACTACAAAGAATTGGAGAATGAAGAATGCTATGAGGAAATGCGAAAACTTCGAGAGGAAGTAGAGCAAGAAATGACACTTGGAGACATTGGACTTATTGCCATTGGAAAGTGGGGAATTCGTATCGTCAACATTGCTCTTATATTGACACAAACAGGATTCTGTGTTGCATATTTTATTTTTATTGGAAACACTTTGAAAGATATGTTCCCTATCAAGATGCATAAATTATCTGATAAGCAAAATGTCACCATAAGTTATACAATGAACAGTGAACAACTTAGAAACTCTACACCGCTGGTGTCTCTTCTCATTGGTCAGGGAACTGCCCCTGCCTTTGTTCTACTTCTTCTCATTCCTTTTCCATTTCTTGTTTTGATGTCATTTGTGCGGTACGTCAGAAAACTTGGGCCAATCAGTGGGGTGGCAAATGTGGCCATTTTAGCTGGATTCATAGCTTTATTAAGTCATGTCTTGAAAGGTAGGTACATAAGTACTTTCATTATTACATTATCAACATCATTAATAATTCATAAGGTAAARGGAATGGAAAATCATTGACGTGGCCGGATCAATAAAAGAGCAATGGATTTGGACTGATTTGCATAGATCTTTAACTTCAATTTTCTATTAAAAATAATATTAATATTAATCTTGATGTTCTTAGCAAAATATGCTTAAGCTTATGTTGGAATTTGATAAGCAATGTAAAATATTTGTGTCGTATTTTATATATAATTATGATATCAAAGAGGCAAGATTTTGCTGTTACTCCGAGTTTCATGCTACGCACTCATCAGACAGTATTTTGGGTCGTATTTTATATATAATTAAGTATATGTACCTACGTAAAGTTTTCAGCTCAATTTGTGAGTACAACTTAATTGTTGTTTCATTAGAACTAAATTTACTTACTAGATTTCTGTAAACATTAGCCTTTCAAGTAAAGATTTCCTTTTTCTTCCAAACCTGATTAATACTTACAGTTGCTGTTGTTATTACCAATGTTTAGGCCAAGTTAACAAATTTTCTGTAATTTTCAGGACTTCACTTTAAACTAGATGAAGTGACTCAAGCTAACTGGATAACATTCCCTATTTTCTTTGGACAATTAACATGTGCCTTTGAAGGCATTGGATGTGTAAGTAGTGATAGGCCAGCCCCAGACCCTATTTCATTCTACTATAATCCATTCAGTGCAGAGGGGTAAGGGGGGTCTGGGACTAGACAAGCAGAATAAGGATCTAACATCTCAAAGAGCACATGTCTTATAATGTTCTCTCTATATTGCATTTCTCCTTTGGGACAGTTTTTGTGAAGTGCCCTATCCCTCCAAACCATACTTGGTTGACCTGAATCCATTTCAAAAGAACATCCTGAATCTGCCCCCCTCTGTCCTGTTTCAGTTTGGGATGTATTGGATGTAGAAACTCTTTTAAGTCCTACTAAGCACCCATAAATATATGTACAGTCAACTCTCGCCTTACGGACACCCCGCTACAACGGACACCTCGATATTGCGGACAGTAAAATATTGAATCCCCGGCGAAATATACAAAGAAAGTGACTGAAAGTAACTCTCGTTTCTACGGACTCTCGCTACTGCGGGCACTAAATTACGGTCCCGAGGGTGTCCGTAATAGCGAGAGTTGACTGTATTTTATCCATCTTGTTTTCTTGATTTATTGGAATTTCTGTCACTGACAATAATTGTTTTTTGTAATCAAATCATAGATTATTCCAATCGAGTCTAGCATGGGAAGCAACAGACCAAGATTTCCTCTTTATCTTCACCTTGTCCTGTGCCAAGTCTCTGTTGTTCTAGGGTCATTTGGAGTCTTAGGATACCTGGTTTATGGCTCTGAAGTACCACAGATTGTCACAAATACACTTACTGGTGATATATTCTCACAAATCATCCGAGTGACTCTGATTGTCGCTGTGTTATTTACCTATCCATTGCAACTTGTCCCTGTYRTAAGGATCACAGAGGACTTAGTGTTTGGAAAACGAGGGAAGAAAAAAAAGTCACACCTTTCTGAACTAGTTGCTGGTCATAGCATGGAAAAGAATCCGGGGTCGATTAATTATCCAAACATCGATGGCAGCCATGAAAGTCAAAATCATGAAACAGATCCCATTCTTGCAAGCACAGAAGAAAGAGCTGAACAGCCCTTTGTGTATAAGGTAAATTTGCCGCGCTATGAAAGAGTAGCTTCACGTCGGTTTCTGACTGGGACTCAGTTCAGGTCAATTTATTAAATGGCGTACACAATACCCTTTATAGGTAATCTGTTCTATAAAGACAGATTTACAGAGTATAGACCATCTGTGATAACCTCAACGCCGGTTAGACTAGAGCAGATGGTCAATTCCGGCTCTCAGACCTCATTGCATTTTGCTTTCTTTTTTTCCTAATGGAAATATGAAAGCGGTCCCCCACCCACATGCCTTGTATAATGAGGTGTTGTAATAATATGCATCACCAAACAAAAGAGGCAATCAAATGTACAACATCAAAGAACCTCTGTAATGAGACCCTCCGTTATACGGACAGGTCTGTTGTCGGAACTGACARCAATATGAGAAGCGCATGCGCGTTCGGTCGTAAACCTGAGTAAACATTATGGGGGCGTAAATTGCMCAGTAATGCTTTGCGTTTCCAGTAAAGTACACAATCACTGGAAAAAATSGCGCGAAGGTTGTAAATTTGATGTAAATATGATGTAAGTGTCCAAAATTCTGTAAATTTAATGGAAATCATTTACATCAAATTTACAGAATTTTGGACACTTACATCATATTTACATCAAATTTACAACCTTTAAAGCGCGCGATTTTTTCCAGTGAAACGTACTGCAAACAGTGTTTTGTGTTTGTTATTGTTTACGGCCTGCGTGCAAGCTTACCATAACATTGTCAAATCGACAATGTTAGACTTTGTTTACCACTGAGTTCTCACGCCGGTCCGAATGGTGTTTCAAACGACCAAAAAAATTCCAAGAATCGCTAACTTTTCTTGCCAACTGATTTTCATGCCTTTTCTACTTCTAGAAACTCACTTGGAAGCGAAATGTCATCCGAACCATCCTAGTAACGGCCACGGCTGCGCTTGCGTTGTTTCTWAAGGATGAATTTGCTTATGTCAACGCGTTCATTGGCTCGATGGGGAGCTCTGTTTTGGCGTACATTCTTCCGTGTGCTTTTCACTTAGTTTTATTTAGGAATACTAACACAGGTTTTGTAGTAATTAAAAACATCGCTTTGATTTTATTTGGTATAATAGGAGGGATTGTTGGTGTGGTTATGACAGTCAGGACTATAATAAGCGACTTATCTCATAAAAAATAGAGTATTATTATTTTAAGATGCTAGAATTTAGGTCGTTTACAGCTCTGACTTTGGTAAGGAAAACAAAACAAAGGAAAACGAAGCATTAGGACGTTATTGTCTTCGGGAAACGACGCACCTTGTACAAGAAATCTTTACATTAGATGCTGGATATTCCGAGATTTGTTTTCTTCTGGTTGACGACGACGCGCGTGCCATGCGAATTTCCCGCCTTTTTTGGTTGTTGAAATTACTTGCCTCGCACATGAAACTGAAGACCGAAAGTTCGTATAAAGTGGTTTTTACTAAACATTCTAGCGTTCGTTTTATTTTTATTTCGATTGGGAAATTATTGCAAGTCATTCACATTGAATTAACGACTGCGTGAACTGGTTGTCGAATAGAAAGCGGCCGATTAGCTTGGCTTAAGCAATTCAGTTCTGTGGAGTCATGTGCAAAATGAAAATATGGCAATTTTAGAATACTGTAAAATATTGTTTTTATAAATTAAAACTCACAAATTTTCGTGTGCATATAAGCCTTAAATTTTTAAAATTAATATTTTAGCTCTATTTAAGGACATTTTCGTAAATTTTGCATTGATTTTTTGTGGCAATCACGGGCAAAATGTTATAAAGGCAATGATTGATGTTTAAAATTATATAATAAACCCAAACACGTCAGGAAGAGAGCAAGACAAAAGAAACATGTCTTTGTTTATTCCATCTTACTAATTGGTTTGTGAAGCTTAAAAAAACAAATTAAGCTATATATTCAGGTTGCTAAGGGCCGACCCTGCAAGGCAAAATTTTACAAAATCTACACTAATAGGACTATAAAGCTTTTATAAATTTACAAAAAAATGCGCGCATGAAGTCCTAAAAAATATTCTTGCACGGACAAAATCTCCCCCCTCCCCCAGTCTAATGGATCGCCCATTATGAAATTTGGAGGTGCCGCCAGATAGAAAAAATACTTGAAAAACACTTGATATCAAAAAAGTACTGTTCATTACGTCTTGACGGCGCCCATGTTAGCAGGGGTCAAATAATAAAACCTGTTTACTTAGTGTGTTTTTGTTAGAGCGAAACTCGTATGACTGTGAAAAAAACGCGACACTTTGAGCCGTAACCGTGCCGTAACGGTGACGTAACTGTGACATCATCCGTGCCTTTGCACATCCATACGAAATCCGCTCTGTGCTAATATATTTTTGTTAATATTTGTTCCCTGCTGTCAATATGCGGGCGCCGCATCGTCGAAATACTCAGTCAATAGCCCACATTCGGCTGACTACCCACCCGCAAAAGAATTTAAGACGAGGCTCAGTGAAACAATAGATAATCCATTTGTTTCCCCTTTGAGTCTCGTCTTCAGTTCTGCGACCATTAATTAACTGCAAGGATATTGAGAATGGGTTATTTTACTCTTATTTTTTTAACATCACCAATATTAACACATCAATATTTATAAGCACTATTAYTGCGATAACCCGACATAATAAAAATGATTAAGAAATTTCTCAAACTTTTTTTAACTAACAGGGCCAGATCTCAACCAAATTTAAAGACCTCTATAAAAGAAACGCCTAATTATTATAACTAAAAAACTAATTATTTTATCGTATAATTATCTATGAAATACCTATATTTCTTTCTTTCGGAATCACATTCGAGGTTTTTCTATATACTGGAAGTACAAAAGATATTTTACGACAAAATTTGCTATCATAAATAATTACATGATAAAGCAGAATATTACATTGTCGCTTGAAGATACGAATTTTATCTTCTCGTGTTGAAAATCGCTATGTTACTCGTGAGAGATCTTTTGAACACTCGAAGATAACATCCGTATATCCTCGCGACCCTGCAATATCCTCTAATCTTTATTTGTGCAATAGAATAACTCACTTTAAATTATACATTACAGTAAATATTAGAAATTTTTAAATAAATTTGTATATTTTTCCAGGTGTATTTTGCATTGTCTTTTTATTTGATAAATAAGAATTTAATATTTGGTTTAGGATTTTGGAAATGATGAGTGGGCAGTTCGCATAATATCAAAAGTCTGTTTTCTGTTTACTTAATATAAAAGAAAACGTTTTTTAAATATTAAAGATTTTTTTACTTTTTGTACGCTTATGATAAGYGTGGTTATCACAAACTATAATATGTAACTGTTCTGTTTACATCACTGAGTTCCCTCAGAGATGTCGGCAGGGCTCAACTAGGGCGTGATTGCCCTAAGCTATAATCCTCAATAACGGGGAGTTGGTCGTATCCGAAAATAAAATAAACAAAATGATAATTCTGCGATGTAACCAGTTTTAAGCGCAAGGTGACTCTTGCAATGGATTTAAAACAACAGGTGACATATTGAAAAAGCATAATAAATTTGTCAGAGTTCTGGACAAAACAGAATTTCTTGAAATACAACTGGCGTTGTGCMGAGTATACTTGACAAGGTTTAATGAATTGGGTCAATATAAAGTGCGCGTCTAACTAAGAGTTTTGTGGCGGCGATAAGCAAGTGAAAAAATGGAGTACTGGTTGAAAGGTGGCGAAATGTACGCACAGGAATCACTCAAATATGATTCTATAGGTCGAAAAAGCACGCACTTACATGCTTGCTCCAAAGTCRACAGGTCGGCACCTTAATTTTTGTTTTTTGTTTTTGGTTGTTTTGAATTGCGGGTGGTATGAAAGTTATGGGGTTTAGGTTGACGTTCATTAGTCAATTGATCTAATATAGTCTTTAATTAGAAATAATCCATAAAAAGTCATGAAATTGTAAGGTTTTCATGAAAATTCTTGTTTTTTTTTTTTCATTTTGAATTTTTAACAGTTTAACTCGCAGATCATTTTTTTAAATCAATTTTAGAAAGTTGAGGAACTGTTTCTTTAATTTCGTCATCTGTCCAGCAGATGTATTTTAATTATTTATGATTTGATATTTCAATAATTTCAAAATATTTTCATGAAGTCCTTTCATGCCTATTTTGTAATGTTAGCCTTGTTTATTTTTTCGGAAGTTTGCGAATATTTCGAAGTAAAGTTTTGCAAATTAATAGCTGCAAAAAGAAAAAATAAATTTGGTAATCGAAGTAAGATTTACCAGAACGTCGAGCATTGGATCTGTGAATCTCTATTGAGGAACATGCAATTAAAAGGGTATTATTTCATGAGTTAGAACTASAGGGTTTATGAAAGAGTTTTTTGTACGTGACTAAAAACAAAACTACTGGAAAAGGACGGGCATTTCTAAATAGAAATCTGTTATGATCTAATAATAAAGTGTCCAGTAGAGTGTATAGTTGGCACATCAAAATCTTCATTATTGACATTGTAATTTATGGTAATAGCATTTCAAGGCTTTAACTATTTTGGCAAAACTCTACGACAACGTCCACCACCTGGTTTGTTACAAGGTGTACTAGCTAAGGACTTGGAGCGAAAAAAGTAGTTCGACGTAGCATAGAGGTAAGGTTCTCATTGTACTTTTAGAAACTCAATTGTCAGTATTTGTACGTTTTGTTCAAATTTGGTTTATACTTTTCAATACCAATTCAGTTTTTGGTAACGGGTCTTGCATGCTGTAACTGGCGACTACCAAAAATTTGCGACGAAACTTGTTTGTTCCTCATAAGTTTTCCACAAAAAAKGAAAAAACCTGCGTCTGGCCTTTCCCAAAAAGTATCAAGTTATATTAGGCCTTTTCCCACGAAGGCCGCAGTTTAAGTTTGCGCAAATTTTACTTTTAAACTTTTCACGTCTCTATATATGTATATCCATTTTAATTCTTAACTTTCTCTGTCATATCCCATCCAAAGCGTGTTTTCAAAATTCAAACTAAAGAAGCCACACTTTTACGAAAATTCGGACGCAAAACTCTCTTGGTCGGTGATTAGGGCCGATGATTATGTGGTGTCACTCGTTAACATCAATCAATGTCTTCGTCATGCTTTATTTGAAAATTGGAATTSATTGCTAATTTAAAAGCTCTGTGTAATTAATTTTTGTGTTTTGTTATTTTCTTTTTTTTTAATCATGTTTTATTTTCAGGTACTAGGGGGTAACATTTTTAACTTGTTACCCCGACCTAGTGAAGGCTTTCGGTTCTATTTCTTCCAAGAGACCAGCAACGATGATTCGTACTGGAGTCTATGTATTTCTCATTATTGAAGCTTTAATTCCTGCAATGAAATCCTTGGTTTGTGAAAAATCAGTCTATTTCGATACACTTCAAGGTACCGTCTATCTTTTTAACATTGCAAATAATGAAAAAAGAAAAAGAAAAGAAAATATAGACAAATATAAAAAGGYCCGTTCAATTTTGTTTACCTTTTATTGCTAGCCGGTTTAAATTAAAAGCACTCACTAAGGATATTCCATGGACGCGTAGAGATACGGATTTTATTTTCGAGTGTTGAAAAGATTTGAGCAAGATTTCAGTATGCGAAAAGATGATCCATATCTACAAGCGACCATGTGATATTTTGTTTATCATATAATTACCAATGAAAGTAAATTATGTTTTAAAATAATTTTTATTTATCCATCATTTCCTTAGGTTCTCGATTGTTGAACAGCGTGATAGACAAAATTGAAGTTGATTCAGTACACGACTGTCTTAACAAGTGCACGGACAAAAGTCCCTGCCAGTCCATCAACTACTACCATGGCAACAATGACGTCAATCAGTGTTACCTTAGCAACAGGACGAGACGTTCAGCTGCAGCTGAAGACTTCAAATCGGATCCTSAATTCACGTATTATGAAAAGGTAAATACGGAATATGGTTAAGTCCCCTTCAGGCATGCGTGCTGTGGAGTCATAGTGTGACTAGTAGGGGTAGTACCCAGCAGTGGATTTTGATGGTAGACCTGTACATGCAGTAATCCGATAATGATATTTGTATACCTGGTTGATGCGTTTGGGTTTTATTCAGGATCCCTGTGTCCCGAATCCCTGTTTGATTGGGGGTACGTGTTCCAAGGATAACAGCAACATGGGGTTCCTGTGTAGYTGTGTGCCAAGGTACAAAGGATCACAATGTGAAATCGGTGAGTGACATCGAATACCGAAGAAACTAGACAAACGGTTAGAAGCAAGGACGGATTCAGACCTTCACAAAGGTCTCTTCGGAGCAAAAAAGAAAAAAAAAATAGGGATAGATTTAAGGCTGCGTAAGAAATTTCTTTTAAATGAACGCTGATTAGTCCCATTTAGATTCCTTTTTTATTTATTCTTTTGTAATTTCTGTTTTTATAGTTTTGAACCCTAAAATAGGAACCCCCGGCGGGATCCTCCCTTGTCTATTAGAAGATATTTTTGGACTAACAAACGGAACAGGGAGGGAGAGAAGCGTATGAAACAACACGTTCCCTTTCGCTTTTGTTTGTTTGTTGTTGTTGTTGTTGTTGTTGTTTTTAATTTCCCCTCTCTTTACTACCGCACAAAATCCACATAAGTAAGCGAAGTAAGAGAAGACTAAGATTTAATTAAGTACATGATGCACTCTTTCAGAGCGTGTTGGTTGGTCATCCCATAAACCTGGTAAGTCTTGCAAGGACATCAAGTCAAACGGCGACGCAGTGTATGATGGGAAATACTGGATTGACCCAGAGAATTCTGGGAATGCTATACAGGTCTACTGCGATATGAGCAACGAGGGAGGTGAGGATATTGTATATTCTCATTCCATTTCAACATTAATTTTTCATTAATGGAACCTGCTTTTCTCAAGGTGGATGGCTACTTGTCTCCAATGTCATCCTTCCAAATCCAGCCAACATCCCATCATTGACCTTGCGCACATCTTACCGTGACATTGCCAACTACAACGATAACACAACCGTTCTCTCCCCAACTACACTTAACCAAATTCGTCAGCTTACAGGCTTTACCCAGCTMAGATTTCAATGTCGTCTAGCGAAAGTTGGTCGCACTCTCCACATGATAACAACAGCAGACTCCCAAGGCAAAGCTGTTGTCGACTACTTCACGGCATCATCAGGTTCCCCACCTCAAGCTTGCAAATCATTTTATCGAGGAACCGGGGACACTTCAATGCTCGCTGCTAAGTGCAGTCAATGGAACAGCAGGGTCTGGAGTTCATCATCGAGATCCAGTAGTACCTGGAAACTACATGATCACACTTTTTATGTAGCAGGACAGTATCACTGGATCACAAGATCCTCTGTTCAATGCGATTCAAGAATCACATCTTCAAGTGACCGCAGTCCTGGAGATTTCTGGAAAATTTACGTTCGTTAAAACCGAACAACGTCATTCACGTATGACTGTTAAAGTTCATATGAACTCTGCRCGCATTCAACATATAACAAGTAGACATTTTTAATAGTGTGTTTATCGAAAATTGCACAAAATCCGATCTTAGAGTTGGTTCGTAATGATAAAAAACTCGGCCTTTTATAGCGCCGTCAGTTCGGCAGTTCTAGTGGTTTTTGCGGGAACGTTTACGTTTTTTAGTCTAGAACCGAACGTCATCTTGATGTTTGTCTCTGATAGCTTCACCTGGCATAGTTGCTCCTGCATAAACACAGGTCCAAGGGAGCGATGTACAGAATGCATCATGTTACTATAGACGTTTCGGTGTATATCATGGAATTGAGAGATTTACTGAGTCTTATTTGCACCACGTCATTTTACTCGCTAGCGAAATAGATGGAAATGACGTTTTCATGTGCCTTTTTGCTTTTTATGATCTTATCTTGTATTCAATCTACAGCCTTCCTAAAAAAAAGTCCAAAAACATTAGTTTGAAGGAGATTTCGGTTAAAAGCACTGTGTCGCATAACGGTACGGGCATTTTATTGATTTGATTAGTTTGAGAGATATGATAAATGGTATCATTCAGTGATGATTTCCAGCTTGAAAGGAATATGATAAAGGCACCAATTTTTGATATGATATTTAATGATATGTATTATAATATATACTCAACAACTAACGCAACTAATACACGAAGTTTTGTCAGTGATGATGTACGTCCCATGTGCTCTCCTTTGAATGTTACTGACCCGAGGTTAGCCTATGTTGCCTGCATTTGCGCTGGTTACAAACGACCAAATGATGTCCAGGAACCGCTAACTKTTGCTTCTCTACTCAAACCTTATCTACTTCAATTTGAAGTGTATCCTTATCCCACCTAATCATACTAAATTGTAACCACGGCTGATGAGATTGTGCTGCACAGGTAACATTTCTCAAGCCCGATTGATCTTCCAGAGGTGCTTTCCAATGTTATATTGGATTTTAGAAGTTGTATGTCACGTGACATATGACGTCACAGACTCGAAAATACAGGTTAAGTTGATTGACAAATGATGTATGTCACGTGACACCAAACTTTTAAAAACGAAAAAGCTACAAATCGGATATAAAGTAGCAATCACTTGGTTTCCATCCGAATTGGATTGATTCGATGTGCGTGTAAATCTCCTTAATTTTGACCATATATTGGCATTTGGCGGGATTCAAATTTCTGTAATTGTCGATAACTTTTGAGCCATTTAACGGATTTGGGTGGGGTTTTTACTAAAATGCATCGTTGTGATCGTACAAAACATCTAGATAACTTTTGAAATCCAAATCAAAGTTTTAGAGTTTACTGCCATATTTGGACGTCGCGTATGACGTCATCATGTCAATCAAAGTGAAAATAGAATTGCTATAATAACTTGTCTACCTAGGAACTATCTTCGTGCCAAGTTTCGTTACATTTGAATGATTGTACGAATTTCTGCAAAGCAAACGGGAGAAAAAACACCCTGTTTCTTAACATCGTGATAGGGACGAGAGGCCTTCCCAGAAAGCCTTCGTCACAACAATGGTCTCCAGTATAAGATGGCATGTTCAATAATTTCTTGCATTTTAATGGAGCCAATTTCATCCCTCTTAATTTTAACAGCATTATTCATTTTGATAATTACAGGTGTTTTGAGCCGCTGTGTATAATATCACTTTTAAACAATCTTCTTTCTAAAATAACAGTTTTAGAGTATACTTTTTATTTTCCATGCTTGCATTGTTTTTAATTAAAAATCCCAGATTCATATCCTTCCTCGACCTCGGATAATCGTTTCTCTTTGATTGAGCTTTTGAAAAAGCTTCACTTTCTTCAGGGCTTTGTGTGCAAATGAAAAATCCAAGATGGCGAGCCAATTGAAAGCATTACTGCGCATGTCATGCTGTGAAACGTTAATTAACTATGTTAATACGCTAAAATCTTGATTCGCTTATATCTTCATCTAAAAGTAAGCTACAGGACTAATAGCTCGTATTCTAGATAATCTAAGTATGCTCTTTGTGACTTTCTACTTGGTTTTTGAAAATAACGAATAATAAATTTTCACTTCGGGGGTTGCAACCCAAGAATTGCGTGCGTCTTTCCGTGTTTCATAACATTCTTGGGCTTCATTCCACATTGTTTTCACTGTGTAGTTATTAGGTAATGGTTATTACGCAGTGTTTTTTCATGCGTCTTTGCGTCTTTCATAACATTCTTGGGCTTCGTTCCACATTGGTTTCACTGTATAGTTATTACGTAATGGTTATTACGCAATGTATTTTCGTTCGTGTTTGCATGTTTCATTATTTTCTTGGGATTTGTTCCACATTTATCAATTTTTGAGATGCGTTAATTATATGCTCCTTGCCAATAGCTGACAGATGGACCTGATTCAAATACTTGTCTATGGCGGGCATGTTAATACAGTAGTTCTGAATAAGGCACACACGTGTATATTGTACAACACGATTTTAGAAGACACTAGGAAAAGTTTACGTACACCAATAACAATGTCTTTGACATTATCAAATGCAGTCGTGTGAACTTGAATTTAAAATGCGATGGACTTAAAATTAGTACTTACGAAATGCTATTTTCTGTGCCCGGCATTTATTTAGTATATTGAACAATTTTACAACGTACGGGTTTTTTTAAATCCAATTATGATGGTTTCCCAGTGGGGGAGGTCTGTGTTCCCATGTTCCCTTCTAAATTTTCGCTTTGTTCCCTTGTTTCCATTCAAAAATAAATTTTGCCACCTTAAGTAATGCTCAAGCGCTTGTCAGGCAAGTTTTATTCATTCGTACCCAGTCTACAAAAGACAACAGTGACCTGGACGGCCTGGACTGGCCACAAAACCCTCCAGAGAAACCAGAAAATTATTCATCAAACACATTTATAAACATTATCATGTTTGGTCATTTTGATTTTTGCATTTTTTCTAGAGAAAGGGGATATATTCCCCTGTTCCCCACTCTATTTGACATTCCATTGTTCCCTATATTTTTTCACTTTATTCCCTTGTTTCCGTAGCTAAATTGACTGTTCCTAAAAACCCCTGAGAGACCCTTAACCATGGTCCAACATGAATAGTCTGTTGTACAATAGCCAATCAGAATTCTGGATTTGGTGGATACTTAGACTTCAACAAAAATTGCCATTTTTTTATTTACAGCTCTCATTGATGAAACGGTCCCGTCAAGAATGGTATATAGCCCTTTTAGGCTAAGTATCATTATAATGGCCCGAATCGTCAAAACAACGAATTTTTCCTCGAAGGAACTATACGCGTTTTGGGGCTGATTCGAACGATTATTTGGCCATTTGTGTTTGGTGTTTGATGGATTTTTAAGAAGCAAAAGTTCTATTTTTTAATAGACATTTCTATCTATGTCAACGAGGAGATTAACACATTCAACACCTCCAAGGGTGCAACAGCAAGTAACAGTACAACAGGCCACGTTGGTCGATTCAACTGATATATAAGGTCATCTCAAATTAGTGCCATTCGGCTTTGCTTTTTTCATCAAAGGTCAATTCAACATTTACTCTGGTTATTTGATCAGAAAGATATTAAAAGTTAAGCCAGCGAATGGTAAATGTTATGCATTCAGTTATGTTGATTTATTGATCACTATTTTTTGTCAGCTTATGAAGGACACACCTCATGTTTACTAAATTGTCAACTTTAGATATTTTGGTTCGTTGACTATGTGCAAAAGAACGCACTCGAGGCTCCGGGAAAACAATGGATAATCTTGATTTATTCTTTTACTTCCCCGGAGCCTCGTCTGAAATTCTTTTGTGCATTGTCACTGAACCAAAATATCTAAAGTCGGCTATTGGATTGCACATATGTGCTTACCAAACATTAGCTACATTAAAAAAAATACTTTTCTGATGAAAAGAACACCAGACGTGGTCAGCCACTTCAGACTTGGAGCGATCCATTTACAAGTGATACCCTTTCAAGGAAAAATCTGATATACTAAAACAGCTAAAAGGTTCTTTCAATATTAAATATTCGGAACGAATAGGATTTTTATGTTTTTAATGCCTTTGTATCTTACATTATTGTGCTAATTTGATATGCTGATATTTGATAGTACTTGTTTAATCGATTAGAGGAAAACTTAAATGTTGTTCACACAGAACAACAAAGAAGAAATTGATTGATCGATTGTTCCATTTTGGTGTATTTCAGTTATCGAACGTAAATCTTCCAGTAATCACCAGGATTATTGACAGCTATCCTTGAATCACATGTGACATAGCTCATAGTGATCCAGTGAACCTGACCTGGTACATAAAAAGTATGGTCATTCAGTCTCCAGTTGTTTATTCTGGTCCCTGAACCCCATTTTCCATCTRACCATAGATGGCACTGAGCAGCAAGCAGTGAATCATCATCGGAACCTCGGTAGAATGAATTACAAGCAAAAGGTCGGTTATTGTGAACTGCACTGAAGTAGTCGATAACATCGTAGCCTGTGGAGTTTGCTGCCGTGATCACGTGAACAGTACGACCTACGCTTGCAAGTCGACAATGAAATCTGAGCTGAGTAAAATTGGTAACTTGACGAATTTGTCTCAGTGCAGTGGGGGAAAGGATTGTTTTGTTATCATTGTAGTTGGCAATATCACGATAGGAATCGCGCAAAACAGGCTGTGGGACACTGGCTGGATCTTGAAGAACGACATTGGCGACAAGCAGCCATCCACCTTAAAAAAACAAAGTCAAAATCCACTAAATCATTACATATTGGAAGAGATCAATCAAGAAACGAAAAGATAGATATAAAGGATGCATATCAACTTTACGCAATGGAGAAATATAGGAATTTTTATAAGTAATTATATAATAAATCTTTTTATCAAGATTATTATTATTAATTAATTAAGGAATAATACGTTGCGACTCACCTTCCTCGTGGCTCATATCGCAGTAAACGTGCATAGCACTCCCAGAATCCTCTGGGTCAATCCAGTATTCCCCGTCATATACTCCGTCACCACTTGTCTTTATGTCCTTGCAAGATTTCCCAGGCCTTCGCGAAGACCAACCATATGGCTCTRAAAGAATACATAATGAAAATGTATTGCACGTAGCCAAGGTAWATCTCTTTCTATTGGATTCACTGGGTCTAGCATGACAATATATAGACATGCCCGCGCCTCGGGAAGACATGTTCGTTTAATGAAGTGTTAGTGAAAGCAACTAGTGATATTTTGTCTATATCATATCCCACTCACCTATTTCACAAAGCRACCCTTTGTACCTGGGTCTGCAGATACACTCGAATTCTTTTGTCTCATTGTCCTTAGAACACGTACCCCCAAACAAACAGGGATTCGGAATACAGGGTTCCTGAAAATAAAACACAAAGCTCTTTATGGAAAAGCACTCAGAAGTAGTATATCCCAGCGCCTTTATACTACATTTTCAATGTTCTTTCGAGCAGCAAACCAGTTTCAGACGTTTCAGTATAAAGGAATCTAAGTATATTTCAATTGTACCTTTTCGTAATACGTGAATCCAGTATCCGATTTGATATCCTCCGCTGGTGCCGTTCGTCTCGTTCTGTTGTTAAGGTAACATTGATTGACGTCACTGTTGTTATGGTGATAGTTGATTGACAGGCASAGGGTTTTCTTTTCAATGCATTTGTAGATACAGTCGGGTAWTGTTGGAACAGAMATKTTCTCTATCACGCTGTTCAACARTCGAGCACCTGAAGRARTGGACGTAAAAACCTTATGTTATGTAAATTGAGGTTTACAGAACTAGTAACTATACTTCTGCATGTATACATAACGAATCTACATTTTTTTGTATCGATTCATTCAGTTATGTATATTTATTTTTAAATGTTTGAGCTATGACCCTGCAAAATCTTCCCTTTAAAGCTAGATTTTATACACAGTATACATTACTATTGACACTTAATCATATGAGAAAGAAAGTAATGCCACTAAAAAGCTAGCACTAGAAAAAATCGCGCACTGTGAAGTTGTAAATGATTTACATCAAACTTACATCATTTTGGACCCTTACATTATATTTACATCATATTTACAACCTTTAAAGTG